TCTGCCTTAGCTATGCCAATTTGACAGTCACTTATATATCACTAAAACAAAAGTGTGTCATATAGGCTTCCCTCTTTGAAGTGTACTTTCGTTACGATTTTATCAGTTCAGCGGTTGTCGTTTATCTTGTATACCGAGAGCTGCTCTATCCTTACTGCTTGGGCATTTATATAGTCTCTACCTTAGCTATGCTAATTTGACAGTCATTTATATATCACTACACAAATGTGTAAAATAGGCTTCTCTCTTTGTAGCGCTGACCTGGGGTGGCTGATGCTAGCTGGCCGAACTGTTCCTCATTTATGGAACTTGAATTCCCCCGCTTTTGTCTGCTTAATTAGAAAAATATAAATCACTGCTCCCAGCCCACAGGTTGAAACCTGTAACTGATCGGCAATAGATAGAGCTGCTTTGAACGGCACTGCCAATTAAAGGTTCGTTCATTCACTACCAGTTTCTTTAATTAGAAAAACCGTATATCACCACAATTTTTTATCTTTTTAATTTTTTATTAGTTTTTTTTTTTATCGAAATATTGTTTCTTGCTAGTTTCCAAAAATTCGTTTTATTTTTAGTAGAATTCAATTGAATTCTTGGGATAAAGCAATATTAATTTTGACTAATATTACGCATTGCTTTTGTTTTTTTCATGTCTCCCAGACAGTCATTCTATTATCGTCAGAAAGCAGCGTTGATTTTAAATATTAAGTCAGGAATTGTAATTGATTGCAGAGGCTCAAATAGGGTTATAGTTTATTTAGCATTGATTCAAAAACCTAAAAAGCTTGTTGTTCGTCATCTTTACTTAAATGCGATTTTCGAATCCTCCGGGGGGATTTTACATATTTTATTTTAAATTTCAGGTGTCCCCTACATACCTGCAGAATGCAATAAAAAGCAACAGAAATAAAATGGAATCAATACTAGTCAAGAATTATTAATAATTAAAATGTTTAATGAATTACATTATTTTTTGGCACAAGGCCGACGAGGAAGTGGTCTTTACTAACAATCCTAAACTTCAGTCAGTCAGTTATGTGACATGCGTGATACACGCTTAGGTGATCATGTATCTTATGATACATGACTGACAAGGCAGATTATTTTCCCGCAGTAGGTTGCCATTTCTTTCTGCGGTAGACTAGTTGCCATCCAAGATTATAGAACCCGGTCTGTCGTGTTATTTTCCAGTAGCTTTAGAAGAAGAGGACTCATACCTTTCTCAAGTGTCAGTCAGTTAAGTGCCATGCGTGATACACGCTTAGGTGATCATGTATCTTTCGATACATAACTGACGGGGTAGATTTTTTCCTGCAGTAGGTTGCCATTTCTTTCTGCGGTAGACCAGTTGCCATCCAAGGCTGTAAAAGCCGGTCTGTCCTGCGATTTACCCATAGCTAGCGGGAGGGAGAAGAAGAGGATTCATACCTTTTCCAAGGGTATTAACATGTAATGGATTTGAATGGAATTTGAACTCTGCTCTCCCATTCCCCAATCCGAGCCGCTATACATTACTGCACCGTGCCTCCTATCCTAAACATAGCTAATGAAATTCACGACCCATTCATTTATTGCAATTACTCAAACACCATATGAACTCATCTATCACTATTCAATCAAACACATACCACAATACCGCATACTCAGAGTGGTTATGCTAAAACACCCATGACAAAAAATTTTCAGTGTGTCTAAATGCTTTTTTTTTCCTTACAAAAATATATAAAAAATATTAATTCATGAAATGAGGTGGGTGGGGATGAATCCAATAACCAAACTAAAAATAAACCAAAACGTTCAAACAAAAACTGTCTTAGTAAGACCCGTCCAGCCCACAGAAAAAAAAAAAAAAACAGAATCAAGAAGCTCGTTCGCTAAAGGCTGGGGAGAGAAAATAAATTACGATGTGGAGAAATATCAAAAGGCTGATCCAGTCAGTATAAAAAGGGGACAAAATTAAAAATAATGAAAGTGCTTCTTAACGAAAATGTCGGACAACTTAAGACTCGGTGTAATTAAACAACATAAAGACGGAGGATTAGACACAAATTAACGATAATATTTCATTTTTGTTTATTGAATGCCATTATGAAATATTTTGCTTTTCTCGCCCATTTTATGATTATTTTTTTTATTACAGGGAGTTTCATTTTTTTATCATGGAAGCCCACATTCTGGTAATGAACTTGTGCTCTTAGGTGCATAGTTACCTGTAAATGATACGAAAGGTTACAGCGAATGACATTCAAATATGACAAGCCACAATATAGAAATTAGGTGGAGGCTAAATAGGTAAAAAAAATGGGCTAAAACAGATATTAAGTTTTTAGAAACTTTTATCTGATTCCCTCATACACTGAACTTTTCCATTTGAAGAACTGTATGCTTCTGTAAACATTGCTTTTTTTCTGTTTTGATTTTAAATTGACTTTTTAAAAATTTATTTTATTTTTTGGCTTTATCGATTGTACTTATTTTCTGTAGTGAGTCCTATAGACTTTAAAAAGACAACCCCCTAGAAAATAAATATTGCACTATATATATATATATATAATTCGCAAATACGCTTTTAAGTAGGCGCCCAAGGGGGTCGTCAGTGATGTTTTGATTTAGTTCATCAGGGAGTTTCGGGTCTTTCAACATCATACTCCCCATCACCAAATCGACCCAATCAGGGGAGATCGACCCAATCAGGGGAGATCAACCCCTGATTCCCCCCTTCCAACTAAACGCTAACAGTTACTCTGGCCTTTTTAAAGAATAAGAGGAAGAAAGACCACATATTCCGCACATCCGATTGGATGTTTGTAACAACCAATCCGGTGCGCGAACTATCTTTTAAATGTCCCGCGGTGGGGACTGGCTTCTTTTCTTATTTCGGTGGATTGCAGTTTCGATGGATTACCGAGGAGGTAATCTTAATCTTCCTAAATCTTACCCTTATCCTCAAGTATTGTATAGTTTAATTATTTGCCGTTTTTATTTTATTTGTACTTTTTCTTTTCTTTTGGCAGGGGTATTTAAACTCAACCCTATTATCACATTTTATCGTTTAGCCTGTTTCTTAACATTATTGCATGTTAACTTTTATTGGATGTATTCGCAAAAGTAATTGTCCAGAAACATGGCGTATATATATATATTTCCCGTACATACAAAGATGAGATATATATATATATATATATATATATATATATATGTTGTCATCCGCAGACAGTTTTTGTTGGATGTGCGGGTGGTGTAATGGGTAAGAAAATGGTAGCCTAAAACAGTCTATTTAAATAGCCAATGTTCCGGGTAAAAAATAAAAACGAATTTTTTTTTAAATTTATTTATTTTGAATATAGCAGTAATGATTATATACAAATGGTACAAGTCAGTTCAATTGCATTGTCTCGGATTGAGACCAAGGAGTCAAATTATATCTAGGTTTCAGTTTCAATGTCATATTATAAGGATTCGACATTATGTTTCCTGGAATTGACAAGGCAGAAACTAGTAAACCAATATAGGAAATTGCTGATATCCCCTGAAGAGTGAACGGAAAAGTCCGCCTACTAAACTTGGGAGTCGGGATTCTGAAGGTAACATTTATCAGCCAATTGACAAAATTTTTCTTATATATATATATAGAGAGAGAGGGAGAGAGAGAGAGTATATATATATATATATATATATATATATATATATACTGGTGCTGATTCAAGACTTCGTTAAGACGAATCATGTTCTTTCAGTCACTAGCGTGTTTATCTAAAAATAAATGTCTAAATTTACCTTCGTGCGCGAATGGCTTTGGGGTAGAGACCCCGACTGATACCAAATCAATCGAGTTTTGAGCCCGGTTTGAGGCAATCAGCGAAACAGTCTGACTGTGGGTGACAATATATACATACGATGGACATAAGAGTAAGACTGATCAAAACATCGTCTTTTTATGTTGAGTTGAATATAGTCTGTTAATTATGTTTTATGAATATGTCCTGAAGATGGTCTACTAGACCGAAACGTCCGACGTTGACATTATATTAACATTAAAACAGCATAATTGCATATTAGGATTTTTGTTTGTTTTTTCCGTATATTTTTCTTCATACTGTCGGATCTATATCCATATATTTGCTTATACATATATATATATATATATATATATATATATATATATTAAGAAATGGACAAGGTCCGACAATTTATTTATTAAAGACATTTTTTATGTTTAACGTTGTTATTTATAGATACAAGTATTTAAGCAAATGCTCTCTTATAAGCAGTAAATTCGACCTTGTCTACCGAAAGGTTCTTTGTGGCCCAGAGGTAAGGCACGTCAGCGTAAATGACGGTTCCGTATAGCATGCAGGTTCGAATCCTGTCAAAGAACGAATATTTTCTATGAAAATTTCTCGGACATTCAGGCCGGTAAATGTTATTTAATACTGTTTATCATAAACAGATCATTTGCTTAAATACTTGTATCTATAAATAACAACGTTAAACATAAAAAATGTCTTATATATATATATATATATATATATATATATATATATATATATATTCAAAGGGTTTGTCTTCGTATAATGTTGAGATTTATTTAGCGTAGCTTAGTGTTCTCATAATTACAGGACGTCTCACGAGGACTGAATTCACTATTAATGATTTAAAAGTCTAACAGTTCAGCCACAGATTAAACTTAGCTTAACACAATATTAAACGCAGCTAAAAGTTTACAGCCAAATATCGCCTAATTTTTAATATTGATTGATTGATTCGTTTTTTTCGGCTTAACAACCCTTTTTGCATGTTATTTAAAGCCAGAAAATAATTTATATCATAAGAAGTATTTTTGGAGAGCTAATAATGATTTAATGATACAACTTTTAATAATTACCTTTCCAAAGGGTATCTGTACGTAAGTGAATATATCGAACGCAACTGGAATTGGAACTCGATTCTCCGATTAACAATTCCGAGCCATTATCCATTGCATCATTTGCACATCCAAGCTTACGGCACCTGGTATTCCCAAAAGATCACCCATCTAGGAACTAACCAGGATCGATGTTGCTTAACTTCAGTGATCGTACGGGAACCGGGGGTACTGTATTAATCGACTCTTTATTTTTTAGAGATGATAATGATTTAGGAATACAAGTCTTATTGATTAATTCCTAGCTGGGCAGGAGAAGTGGTGGATTCGTACATTTCCCAAGGGTATCTGAGCGTAAGTGAATATAACGAACCCAACTGGAATTAGAACTCACATCTCCGATTAACAATTCCGAGCCATTATCCATTACACCACCCGCACATTCAAGCTTACATCACAATAAAAAGATCTGAAATTGACAACTTTCTCCATTTCACTGAAATAGCCTTTGGATATCTCCATTTTCCCTTCTCTCTTTCATTCATTTTCTCACTGAAATCAAGCCTCTGACATGTGTTTTGTTTTTTCACGCAATCAAAACGGAATAGTCCATTATTTACGAGATATTGACAAGATACATTAAACACTTCTATCATACCTTCTTTCTTTATTTATTTCATTTTGCCACTGAAGCAAAGTAGTTTCCCCCCCTTTTTCCAGGTGATCAAAACGGAATAGTCAGTTATTTATGAGGTATTGGTAAGGCGTAACAGCCGTGTAAACTAATGAAGGGAGAAGCAAGCACAATTATAATAGGAAAATTTTCTATTTGTGAATTCAGTTAAATATTAATACCTCAGATCGAATATTCCAAATCTGATATAAGATGTGCCCTTGAAGACTTGAATTTTTCTTTAATCCTGTGGTTTCATTAAAATATTAAAAAAGACAAAAATACTGTTATATAGGAATAAAATGTCATTGCCTACACTTGAGTTTGAACATAAATCGCCAGTGAGCAAACACAGGCGATCCCATTATTGAATTAAGTGTATCATGTGACCATAGAGGCAATGGATAAAGAAGAAGTCGCGTGATGTCTAGATTGATCGCTATTTCTAGCCTATCCTCTATTACTATACGGATCGCTATTTCTAGCCTATCCTCTATTACTATTCGGAGCGCTATTTCTAGCCTATCCTCCATTACTATTCGGAGCGCTATTTCTAGCCTATCCTCTGTTACTATACGGATCTCCATTTCTAGCCTATACTATTTCTCTACTTTGTTCACTATACTATTTCTCTATTTGGATCACTACACGGGTTACTATTCTAACGAGTATTATCGAGCAAGTATTATTAGTGCGTGTTTTATTGGAAGGCGTCTGACTACAGCATTGTTCTACGGCGTTACTATAGTTGTATCTGTGATTACAAAGTCTCTACTACAACGAGCATTACAAAAGTGACAACGAGTATTCGTTGATATTACAAAAGTGGCAACGAGTGTTCGTTGACATCACAAAAAATACAAAGCTAAAAGGCAACCTCTTGCATAGAAAAATAACTTTCAGGAAACGGGATTCAAATTACACCTTGAATCGTACAATGATGGAACGTCAATATGAACTGTTTATATGAGAAAATCGTTCCATCGAGCTTATCTAATATTTTGAAATCATCTTCGAATACGTTTTCACAACATCGCCCACGTGACGCCGACGGGATCATATTGAAACGGAACGCTGATCTTAAAAAATTCAGTTATCTGTTTGGATTAATAGCGAGCGGTACATGGGTCAGGTAATTAGACATAAGTTAAGCAAGATGTCTTCCAAAGCCGTGAACTTGGGCGCAGATCTGCGCAGGGAAGAGGTCCGTCGAGGTGGCGATCGTTAAATTCGTGAAGTCAAATCCCCGGAGTGGTGTACTCTTCGGGCCACTGACGACATGTGCGGAGCATTTCGGCGCCATTTCGAGAACCGGTTTACCAAGGAGCCTGGTCTTTGTGAGGAGGAGTTTCATAGCTATTTGGCTGACTTTCCTCGGCTTTCGCCGACTGAAGCGGCTAGCTGCGAGGGAGAGATTGGCGAGGGCGAGGGCTACGCGGTTTTGAAGAAGGTCGGCAGAGGCAAGTCGCCCGGTCTGGATGGTCTGCCCTATGAAGTGTACTTGAGGCTGTCGCACATCTTTGTTCCAATTTTGACTGCAGTGTTCAACAACTGGTTCCGGCAGGGATCCCTCCCCGACCGGTTCTCCAGGGTTGTGATCACTCTGTTGAAAAAGGGAAAAGGTGGTGGGGGGAAGCTAGATGATTACAGGCCCATAACTCTGCTAAACACAGAGTTAAAGATTATGGCCAAGATCCTGCAGGAGCGTTTGCAGTCAGTTGCCGAGTCTCTGTTGGGACCTGAGCGGACTTGTTCTGTGAGGGGTCGAACAATTCAGAGCAACCTGCATTTGATCCGCACGATCATAGAGGATGTAAAAGACGACGAAGAAGCCGCGCTGATCAATTTGGATCAGTCCAAGGCATTTGATAGGGTCGACCATCGCTACCTTGTTGCCGCTGGATTCGCACCCAACTTCTGCCGCTGGATTAGCCTCCTGTATCGCTCCCCCAGTGCGGTGGTACAGGTGAACGGAAGGTTGTTGGACGCGTTCGTGCTGTCTAGGTCGGTTCGTCAGGGTGGTCTGCTGTCGCCTCTCCTTTATGTTTTGGCGTTGGAGCCTCTTCGCCGGCTGAAGGACGAGACCGGCAGTCCGGCCCTACGTGGAATTGCCGTTCCTGGAGGGTCTCGAGTCAGGGTTTCCGCGTACGCCGATGACGTATCTGCTTTCGTGTCGTCCTGCAACGACATTGAGGCGGCACAGAAGGCGCTTGATCAGTACGAGAAGGTGACAGGGGCCAAAATAAACCGCGACAAATCGTCCGACTTGCGGTTAGGTGCCTGGAAGGGGGCCACTCTTCCGGGCCGCTTCGGTTGGACAGACGGTCCTGTCCGCATTCTTGGAGTGTGGTTTGGGCCTGACCTCCAGCTGGAGAAGAATTAGTCTGAAGTTCGAGCAAAGGTCGATTCCGCCGGTCAGACTTGGAATCGACGGAGGTTGTCCGTGAAGGGCAGGACGGAGGTGTGTGCTACATACATTTTCCCTCTGATTCTTTATCGATTGTCCGTACTTCCTCTCTGTAAGACCCACAAGAAGGCGCTCGAGCGATCGTTATCCTCCATTTTATGGAGGGGACGCGGGAATCAGGTCGACAGACGAGTCTGCACTAAACGTCTGTGTCATGGGGGACTGGGAATGCCGCACCTGCCGAGTCACATCCGTGCCTCTAGGTTGGCTTTCCTACGCCGCGCATTGACTGGAGGAGATCCGATTCTGGAGGGGATTGTTAGGGGCGCGTTCTCTGGCCTTACCAACAGTCCCCTCATCTCGCGGGTTGAGCGCGGTCGTAAACCCCGGGATCAATCGGTTTTCCTTCGCGAGTGTAGGTGGGCCTTGAGGGCCGTTCCCCGGTCCAGTGACCTTTCTCGGCCTAGGAAGGTCTTCTATCGTGAATTAGTGGAGAGGCCCGCGAAGGATCCCCTACGAGATATGCTCGGCTTGTCGGAGGAAGAGTATCGCTCCTACTGGTCTTGGGCGCCAGCGGCGGATTATCTCAGTAACCCTGAGTTTTCGCTTAGCTGGCGATTGGCTCGAATCGGCTGCCTCTCAACGACAAGGCTTTCATATTCACATGGATTTTGCCAGAACGTGAACGGTGTGGCCTTGGCTTAGAAAAAACGGCTTCGCACGCCTTCTACCATTGCCCCCAGGTACGCCCCTTATGGGACCATGTCGGCGAGCTGACGGCTCGTCTCGCTCCCGAACAGCTTGTGTCCATTGATCGCGCATACGCGTGTGACAATGTGTCGCCCTCGTATTCCGGGATGAAACGGATGGTGTTTCTGACGCTGATGGCCACGGCTCGAATGGTGATTTGGACGACGCGAAAGGAGGAAGTCTTGCGAGGCAATCGTCTTGCGAGGCAATCGTCTTTCTCATTCGGATCTAATTCGATTCTTTGAGCATCAGCTCAAGATGATTAGATCGGATAGAAAACGATTGCATTCGACAGTCTTTAGCGAAAGGTGGGTAAAAGAAGCGAGCTTGCTTCGTGTGAACGGGGCTAGCCTTGATTTTCTCTTCTAGGTCAACCTATTGCACATCGGGGTGGCTTCCTTTGGAACCCTCCCCTTGGTTAGGATAGAGAAGCTTCAGTGTACCTAGTTAATGTGAGTAAGTGTTGTTCCTGGCCTGCATCCCGGCCGTTCTTTGGTTATGATCCAAGTCGAGATTCCCAACCTCCCCAGTTTGTTTTGACACCCCCCCTTTCATCTCGACTGCGTCAGTTTTATATTTTCCCATTCAGTCTAATATTTTATACTTTTTCCCACTCCCTTAGCGAGAGCGTCTCTTGATTTTGTCCCCTGGGCAGAAATACAGCGGTCTCTCTGTTTTATGGGTTGGACGGTCCCTACTAACATCAATTATGTTTAGTTTGTATTTGTGTTTATTTTAAGTTTATTATTGGGTTCATTTCCTCCCCTCTCATTTTATCATTATTAGAATTGTATATATATATATCATCATTAAAATTTTTATGGCATGGGGCGCGATTTTGGTAGGTCTCCTTGAGAGCACGTGGTATTATATGGTGGTTGAAGGATTGTTTGGTGATGGACGAGTTCTTTTGGTGAATGGGTAAAATGTAATGTACGAATGGGTCGCGAATCTGATTAGCTAGGTATAAGAGTTAGTGTTGACCAGCCTCTACCCCTCCCCTTTATTGGCCTCGTGCCACAATTTGTACTTTTTGTACGAATAAATACCAGTCTTACTCTTATGTCCATCGTCTTTTTCATGTTGAATTGAATATAGTCTAATGTTAATTATGTTTTATGAATATGTCCAGAAGATGGTCTACTAGACCGAAACGTCCGACGTTGATATTATATTAACATTAAAACAGCATAATTGCATATTAGGATTTTTGTTTGTTTTTCCGTATATTTTTCTTCAAACTGGAATATGTAAATCCATCCAGAAAACATATCTGATTAGATTGTTACTCCGCACTCTCGATACTGTGAGAAATCAAACCGGTATTGAAATTGTCAATCCGATCGAACAAGATCTGGAGGATGTTCTACCAGACTTTTATGAAGAATGTGATAAGGCACAAG